AAAAGAAAAGCAAGGACTTTGCTTTATTTTTTTTTTAAACAAGACATTAAAAACCTGTGATTAGATTTTATTTTTATGTTTTATACATTTTTCTCATTGGATCTGGTCTTCACTTGCTAGATATCCACTGCCTTAACAGTAGGGAAAATTCTGTTTAAAATAATTATTCCTGCCGGGCAGTGGTAACGCATGTCTTTAATCTCAGCACTCGGAAAGCAGAGGTAGGCGGATCTCTGTGAGTTCGAGGCCAGCCTGGGCTACAGAGCAAGATCCAGGACAGGCACCAAAACTACACAGAGAAACCCTGCCTCGAGAAACAAAAACAAAACAAAACAAATTATTCCTTGGGTTGGGGATTTAGCTCAATGGTAGAGCACTTGCCTAGCAAGCACAAGGCCCTGGGTTCGGTCCTCAGCTCCAGGGTGGGGTGGGGTGGGATGTGTGTGCGAAATTTCTGTGCTGGAGAAATGGCTCAATGATTAAGAGAGCATATTGCACTTGCGGAGGACCTGAGTTCAGTCCCCAGCACCCATGCATTTTGAATAGCTTACAACTGCCTGTATTACACTTTAGCTCCAAGGGGATCTGATGCCTCTGGTTTCCATGGATACCAGCCCACACATACATATGCACGTGTGTGCATGCACTCACACACAGCACACACAAATCTTTAATGGAAGAATTATTCCCAACATCCACATAGCAGTTTACAACCATCTGTAACTAGCTCCAGGGGATCCAACACCCTCTTCTGGTCTCCAAGGGTACCAAGCATGCATATAGTACACAGACATACATGTAAGCAAAACACCCATACACATAAAAATAAATTAAAAAATTTTTTTTCGCCCCCTTCTCTTTCTGCTCTCTCCTTCCGTCTATCCTCTAAACCCCCCCCCCCCAATAAAGCTCTAAAAAGGTTTAAAAAAATTTTTTTTTCAAGACAGTGTTTCTTTGTGTAGATCTGGCTGTCCTGGAATGCTCTTTGTAGACCAGGCTGACCTGGAACTCACAAAGATCCTCCTGCCTGTGCCTCCTGAGTGTTGGGATTAAAGGCCTCCACCATCAGCCACCACCACCAGGCAAGAGCTCTTCCTGCAGAGGACTCAGGTATAGTTCCCAGTGCCCACATGGTGGTACTGTCTTTAAGTACAGTTTCATTGGGTCTGATGCCCTCTTCTGGCCTTCACCGGCACTGCATGCATGTGGCACACAAACATATATGTAGGCAAAACACTCAAAAAGATTTGATTTTTTTTTTTTATTTTTTTTAGTCAGGATTTCTCTGTGTAGCCTTAGCTGTGCTAGAAAATTCTCTGTAGACCAGGCTGGCCTCAAACTCACAGAGATCTGCTTGCCTCTGCCTCCTGAGTGCTGGGATTAAAGGTATGTGCCCAGCTGAATTTGCCTATTTTTAAATTGCTAATTGCTTAAAAAGATTTGTTTAGCGGGTGGTGGCACACACCTTTAATCCCAGCACCCAGAAGGCAGAGGCAAGTGGATCTCTGTGAGTTCGAGGCCAGCATAGTCTACAAAGCGAGTTACACAGAGAAACCTTGTCTCAAAAAAACAAACAATAATAATAATAGTAATAATAATGATGGACAAATTCATAAGATAGAAAAGAGTTTATTGTTTCTTAGGGGCAGGGAAATAATAGGTTTTTATGGAGATGATGAAAAAGCCCTGAAGTTACATGATAGTAATGTTTCCCAACTTGAGTGAGTATTCTCAAACCACTCAATTGTGTACTGAAGGCTTTGTGTAG